CAGCTTCTATCCTGTACATTTAAAACTCTACCAATACAATATGAATAGTGTTGGCACAGTCTGACAGTCTGTGTTGTCCGGGCACTCCTCCAGTTCAGAAGCTATACAGCTTTACTGTCACTCACATTAAGGTGAAACACACACTTTTCACACAAGCTCAGTCTATTTTGCTACATGAGTTAATACTGTATATTTCTTGATATGTTTGATACGGTGGTGTACATGTAGTGTCCTGCTATGATGCAGTGTGGGTGTGGGGGTATTTTTGGACTTGGGTGGGACAGACAAGATTCAGTATCGGTGTGACTGTCTCCTTCTCTCTCTTTTTACCTCCTTGTGTTCTTGGGAGGGAGACGCTCCCTCTTTTTCCTTCCTCTCATCTGGCTCGTGACTAAAAACCGAACTGATCAGAAGCACATTCCTGCCTCTTCTCTGTCTGTGCTGTTGTTTTATCCAGATTCCCGAGATTTCCTGTTGCAACAAAACCATGTGTTTCATTCTTGCTGAGTCACATGTATATAAAAGTACATATACGTGTTCATATGTGCAATACATGCTATTCGAGCAATCTGTTACTGTGACTATTATTGATGATGATATTTGTCCCTTTTTCAAAGTTTCAGCCTGTTTTTCTTGTCGTCCTGATTTTCCTGTTGATGAATTGCGTTGCAGGAACTTAAAGGAAGGTGACTTGTGATTCTTTACACTCAATTTCATTTCAGGTGTGAACATTTTAATGAAGCCCCTTTTTTAATTAATCTTACTGTAATGTTGTGACGTTGATCCTGATTATGTTTCTTTGTTTGCTTTGTTAGGTTGTTTTTTTGTTTGTTTGTTTGTTTTTGTTTTTTTAAGTGGGCCTGTTATAAAACGTGTCCGTTAACTCAATAAAGCAATTCACTGACTGTTTCATTTCCATTACAGAGTTATTGTACAGTAGTTCTTATCCTTTTCTACACAATGTGAAATTCAGGGAACAATTTTCAATGGAATAATCAAACATTTTGGGAAACATACTTGCTTGTTTTCATGCTGAAAGTTGAGTATAATAATGCCAGCTCTCATATCTGCACACTAAGCATGAAGCTACAGCCAGCACTGTTAGCATAGTTTAGCATAAAGACTGGAAACCAGTGGAAACAATTAGCCTGGCTCCATCTATAGGTTACAAAATCCCCTTGTGCTAACAGTACATTGGAGCCAGCTCTATATTTAATATACATACATTAGTTAGTTAGTCTGTGTAAATGAAAGTTTGGAAGAAACAGGGTCCCAGCAGATTTTTTTTAACTGTTCAATTGTGTCTGACTGCTCATGTTTCTTGCCATATTGTGCTGAGGCATCTGTTTCAAACCAGGTGCTTGTAGGGTCACTGCACAGCCTCTGAAACTTGCCCTGTCAGCATACCTTGGCACGATGAGTGGAAACAAGGAAAACACTGTTCAAATGTGACCAAATCTGGCTACTAGCACCATTAAAGCACCTTTGGACAGAGCTAGGCTAACTGTTACCCCATTTCCAGTCTTTATGCTGCACTAAGCTAATGGTATCCTCACTGTAGCCTCGTACAGAGTGGTGTCAGAAAGTATTCAGACCCCTTGACTGTTTGCACATTATGTTGCATTGTGAATTTAATTTAAAATAGATGTTTAAAAAGTTGCTCATCAGTCTACACTCATAACCCATAATAATGTGAGAACATTCTCTTTTTTTCTTATTACAAATTAGTTAAAAATCAAAAACTTAAATCTTACAGAAATGTTCAGTACTATGTAGAAACCTTTGGCAGCAGTTACAGCTTCTTCTTGGGTTAGGTCTCTGCAAGCTTTGCACATCGGGACCAGGGCAGTTTATCCTCTCAAGCTCCATCAGATTGGAAGGGAAGTGGCTGTGTTCAGGTCTCTGCACAGGTGGACAATCAGAAGTAGCAAAATATCATTATGGGTTCAGTTTGATGGACAAAAATGGCAATTTTATCCAGTTAAATTAAATCCATTTAATTTATCCCTTTAAATCAAATTAAATCTGCAACATAAAGTGTGCAAGAAGGGGTCTAAATACTTTTTGAAGCCACTGTATACAAATCAAATATGCATTTTCCCAAAATGTCAAATTATTCTTTAAGGTTTGATGTTTCCCAAATGTCCATTGCTGCCACATGTCATAACAGAATGAGATTTGTTCTTTCCCTCATTAGTTGTAAGTTGATTAATCCATGATTAAAAATCATTAAAAAAACATGAATGTGTTCATTCAAAAGCATCCAGGTCTGCTGCATATTTTAAACCAACATTTACAGACTAGCAGTTTTAGCAAGGAAGCTTATGCTCAACTTTAAAGATGTAAACAAAAAAGACCGGACCTGTTGAAAGACCTGACACACCTGATGACCCCAGGAACATCACTGAAGATACGTCCCAGTGCATCCAGATGTATCTCATACAACTAGAGCTGAAATTACTGATTAGCCAATCCACACAAAACATACTGAAACTATTGTATATATTGTAATCATCAGTTAATTTAGGATTTTTAAGCAATAATACAGAAATGCAAAATCACTTGTCAAATGTGAAGATGTGATGGTTCTTTTCTTTTGGTGACATTAAACACCTTTGGGTTTCAACCATTGGCTGGACTGCATACATATGATGGATGTCACATCACCACTTCCCTCCCCCATGCAAAAAGTGAAGCAGAAATATTAGATGGATGGAGTGACAGCATCGGACCGCCAATCAAAGTTCCCACATTAAGCACTTGTTCACACATCGGTGTGATAACATCTACCAAAAGTGGCAGGAATCACCTTTGGGAAAAAATTTTATGATTTGTGCTTTGAATTTCTATTTTGGCTCATGTCCCATCTACTAACATGGAGGATGCAGTATTTATGACCTATACTGCAACCAGCCACCAGAGGATAGAGTCGATGGTTTTGAATTAAAGCAGGCCACCCACTGACCAACCTGCCACTGAACAGCTTACCTGTTAAATGTTGGCCTTGTCAGTATCTCACCATACATGCAGTAGGTTTTGGGGATAGAGTACCTGGTCAAAAAGTCAATGCTCTTATTAACCAAGGACATTTTATTACTCAATTTATAAATATTCAATCTGAAATAGAATTTAAGCTTCATGTTTAATAGATTAATATCACTACAAAATTTACCACAAAATTAAAAGTACATTGGAAAGTCCATTTTATACAAAAGAAACACAATGTGCTTGTCTCAAAAATATATACAGTGTTTCAACCAGAGCGAGCCCTGGAGCTGAAGAGCGAAACAAGCAGCCGTGGTCTAGCCCTCCGGTGAGTAGATCTTGATGAGGTGCTGCAGTTCAGTGGGATATCCGGTAACCGGGCAACGGCGTTTGACTTTCACATACGTGTAGATGCAGCGGTAACAGAAGACAAAGCCAGAGGTGGACAGCACAGTAGCATTTGTACGGCGCTTCTGGCACAGAGGGCAGTTCCTGCTGTCAGAGCCTGGCTGGGTTTCGTCGCTGTGATTGGCTGAGATAGATGGCGGCGACTCTTGCAGGTGGAGGGGGGGCGGAGGAACAGGCAGGGAGGTGAGGGCTTTCACAGTACTCTGGTTGTCAGAGGAGTACCACCACTCCAGGAACTGCAGGAAGAAGACACCCAGAGAGAGAGAGGTGGAGAGGGAAACAGCCACGCCCCTTGCTGCTTGTGTCGTCAGCCACCACACTCTCTGCACCAAGCTGCAAACAGAGGAACAATGCATTGTGGGTAGTGGATTTAAGAACTTGTCTGGCATAAGGGGTAAATCCCAATTCCCTTAACTGATCATTCCTCACTCAACCAAGAAGTTGTTTCAGTCCATCATCTTAAAGGACATCCCAAAGCTCTTATTCCTGCTCTGAGGAGCAAGGAGGTTGGAGGAGCCATGAGTGAGGACACATGGGACCATCCTTTGCAAAAGTCTGTTATGGAACGACATGCTCCTTTAACTGAAATCAGCTGGTGATTGGACACTTCAGATGAAGGATTTGAGGAAATACCATTACATTGTTAGCAACATGTTTCCTCAAGTCCTCTCTGCTTATGATTTCTCTTTCCTTGCATCTTACATGGGTGGGACTAAGGTGCAAGGAAAAGATGCAAGGGAATTGGGATTTACCCTTAAAGAACCCATTTGTATTCTTAACCTGAATTTTTCTACTGTTTTTGGTGGGTTGGCACCAAATGCATTTCCTTCCTCTAAAAACACGGCACCCAATGTTTCTTAAAAATTTGAATTTGTATTGGTACATCCACCTTTACTAGCTTGTAGCCTTCCTCTTTCCTGTCTTTGCTGGTGCACTGTGACACATTTTGGCCTGTACCACCACCTGCTGGTGAGTGGGGCAGCTTAAAACCACTGACAGGGGATGTGTGTAGCACTCACATGCACTCCTCACAAAATAAAGCATGGACATGCTGATAAAAAAAAACCCAGCTCATGGATTACTAGAGGTCTAAAACTCTATAGGAGATCTTTGTGCACAGTTATAAACTGATTCACAGTTACTCTGTGGAGTTGTTGACCACTAGCAGCACAATGGAACAACTGTTGTTTCACATCTACAGATGGTGCAAATGTGTGCAGTGCATCAACAATGGCAAAGAAGAAGAATGCAGGCTAGTAAGCATGGATGTAAACAATGCTAGTTTCAAGCTTTTAAGGAAAATCAGCTTTGCAAATGTCTTATGAGGAAGGATGCACATTCAACATGTTTATTAGATCCCAAAGATACACATAATGTGTTCTGATGATTAACACTGGGTGTAAACATCCATTTACTGACAATAAAACACTTTAAGTCCTCTTAGCTATGCTGTTTGCACTTCAGGATAAAACAATTTAAAGTGAGATGTTACCTCCCACCAGCTGGGCTGCCAGTGTTGCTGGTCTTTAGCTCCATGTCTCTGATGTCTTGGGTGTTAAGTCGAGCCAGTTTCACTCTGGCCAGCCACAGCAATGGACTATGGGTCCTGGTCACTCCAAAGATAAAAAGCAGCTGCTGGCAGAATATCCAGGCCTGCCAGGCTGTGCTGACGTATGGGTATGCTGCCATGGCCACCCGGTACAGCCTCTGTCTCCTGGTCTGCGCTAGCTGGATGGAAAAGTCCACCTCATCCCTCTGCCGTGCCAGCATCACCTCCAGCTTGGCTCGCAGGTATGGCACCAGGCAGAGAAGAAGAAGAGAACGCCAGTATGGTTTCCCACGCAGCCCCAGGTGAACAGGAAATCCCTGCCCTCCTGAAACTCTTTTCAGGCCGTAGAAGTTCTCAGAGAAGGAGGCGCTGCACTGAGACAGGAAGTGGTTCTGGAGGAGGAGGTCCAGCACCAAGTAGAGCTCATCAAAGCGTTGCCACAGGAAGCCAAAGCGGGACGGGTTGGACTCTGCCAGAACCTGAGAGAGTAACAACAGCACTAGGCTTGTTAGAGTCCAGCTGAAGTTTGCTTGCATCTCAAACTGTCAAACAAATGCAGCCACTGACTAGATTTACATTTGCTTTGTCTTTTAAATTTCAACTAGAATTACTGCTTTGTGGTTGTATGACACCAGCAACCAATCAAGTTTCAGTTTACATACTTATGTCCAGTCCAATTATGTAGTGAAGACTTTGAAGCTATTTAATACAATATATTATCTGTATTATTTGGCAAAATAGAAATTATCACCGTATTGGCAGGTATGATTCTAGAAAATCATGTACAGTGTGAAACATACTGTCTTTACTTAGAGAATATTTTTACAGAGCTTTGTCACATCGGAAGCAAACCTGGAATTTATTTATTTATTTATTTTTGCATACGCCCAGGCCAGCAACTGGGAAGAATGGGCATCATCTTGTAATCCAGTATCCAGGTCTCTTACATACATATGACAGACCTAGTGCCTTATGTGCCTGGTTACAATTGCTAAGTTATGATTGGGTAGGATTTTGTGAACAGTTAGATGGGAGCCTCACCTTGACAGCATGTCTCAGAGCAGGTTTGACCGCGTCCATCAGAGACTCCTGTGCCAGAACCTCAAAGATTGACGGCTGCTCATTCACAGCCGTGGAGGTCAGATGAGCTCCAGCCTCAGCCATGGCTGCTGCACAAGCACATCACAAAAGAGACGAACAAGTGCATTAACCTGGAGGAATGGCTAAACCATAGCAGTAGAGACCTCATAAAAACACTTTGAAGTTGGTTGATGTCCTACACATTGACTTATGTCAGGTCAGTCTTACATCTTTTTTACTTATGAAAGCAGAATTGCAACTTTAGAAATCGATTTGCTTGTTTGTTCGTTCGTTGTAATGTGGTCAATCTATTTTTTAAATGGGAAAAATGCGATCAGCCCCGTTGGCCTTTAGAAAGGCCCGCTAACTTCAGCTCATCCTTTTGCCTGTGTACTGTCTCAAGGTTGTCAAATACTGACGTTCAAACCCCTGATGGTAAGGTAAAAATAGCATCCGTGTCAAAATTTAGTCTGTAATGTACAGCAAATCTGATGGGGAGCGATGATGTCACTAGAAACTTATAGAGGATTAATCCTGCCGAGTGTTTGAATATTCAACGTGAAACTGACTACAGCACAAAAATGCAGCCCGGGTTGTTTGTGCAGCCATGTGGTCAAACTGGTGACAACGTACCTTCCTCTGCTAGCTGTTAGCTGTAACTTAGCACGACAATGTCACTGACATCTCCTAATGTTTCCTCGGGCTCCGTTAACACAGCATGGTCCTTTAAAACACCCCATATTACGCGAAACTTTACAGCAAAACTCCAAACACTAGTTTACCCCCACATTTTTCTATTATTGACTGCTCGCTATGCACAGTGCACCGCTTACGCACTCAGAAAGTTTATTTATTTCAGTAACGTCATGACGCATATGACGTAGTTCCGGTCGGGCTTTTTGAACGTGAAAATAGATTTTTCTGCGGATTAAATATCTTATAAAACGTGAAAATGTCAGAAAATAATGAAAAATTCACGCTACAATACCTGACGTTCCATGCCTTTTTGCAGCAGTCTAAAACCCAGATATGTTCGACTAACATTGATTTCAACGGGACATTAAGTTTGCCCACTGTTTGAATTAACATAATTTAAGTTTTCTTAATGTTTCCAGCAGCTACTGCTGGGTTTGTGTGTCTTTCCACAGATAAGTGACAGTTTTTAGTCTGATGTGGCTCCACATTCTTCAGTTTAAGTGGAGGGCCTTGCCTGCTGAATTACTGTGCCTCAAATCTGCTGTGTGATCATTTGATTTAACACATTATTGTTACACATTAGGCACATGTGCAAATTATATGCACTGTATTTACAACCACAGCCATTGCTGGCTGATTCCCAATTACTCTTGACAGTGATGTTGCTGTTCCTGACAGGTGCTACAATAACTGGCCACCTTTGTGTGTAGTTATTGAAGTAAGAGGCAGGGGCCATGTGACTGGCTGAAAGGTGAGGGGGAATAACAAAACCACGGTCATGGAAAATGAAACATATTTGACATTATCAAATAAAAATGGCTTGAAATCAAACTTCCACTGGAAAAAAGCTGTCATTATGATAATCAAACACTTCTAAAAATGATGTCAAATTATAAACAGTTCATAGTGATGAGGTAAAGATTTGTTAAATAATTTTCTAAATTGTTGTTTCATGTATATATTGATGATATACAGTAAGACTAGTTTTCAGGACTCTGGAATTCTGGGCCCCAAAGTCAAGTGTCCGCTTTGCTGTGTTGTAAATTCAGCCTTATATGAGACAGTACTGTTTCCACAATCAGACAGTATATTGATACAGCATATGAATTTGTTAGTAAAATAGGTTGTAGCTCTGTTTCTATCTGTTGGTCTATCTGGCTCCCATTCTCACAAACTCCTCACAAGCTGTTACTGGCCTTCATATAATATTCAGCAGTCAGTATTACCAGGAAATGAGGGACATAGAGACTGAAACATGATGAAAACAACAGACATCTGCCAAAGTTTAGTGGATGAGAGGGAACATTTGATGATCAGAGAGGATTAGAGGATTACAGCTGACTACACTGAGAGTCTCCATCAGCATCAGCATCGCTCTGGTATTTCTTTCTCTCCCTGTCTGTCTCTGTCAAGCGCTGTCATCCAGCAAAGCCAGAGGACATGGAGAAGCTGATGGTCCAGGATGGAGATGTCTGGATTCTTCATCAATGAGAGAAGTGAGTCCAATGTTTGGTACAGAGAATGACACTATCAAAGCAAATGATTTTTGGTGTCATTTGGATCCTGATTTAACTCTTTTCCGGTGTCACGGTCAGATTTACAGATTTAGACTTAAAAATACACTTAATAGTTTTCACAGACCTTTATTTTCCTCTAGTTTTATGAGTGAAAAGTGTATTGTCAACCAATAACACAAGAACTGTACTTCGTTTTTTTGACAATATATTATAAACAGTGTTTGTTAGTATTTATACTGAACAAATGTTATGATGAAAAAACTAACAGTCTAGTGAATTTAATTCTTTCTGCTTGTCTGCTCTTAATGAATCTGATTATGTAATTACATTTGCATGATAAATGGAGGATAGAGTGGATTTTTAAAATACTGTGTTTAAAGCAAGTGTAACAGTTGTACAGATTGATGTTAACTAGGTCAGTTATGTAATGATGAAAATATGGCTGACACTTCATTGTATCTGATATGAGTGCAGTTCCCTTTACACATTGCCCTGTCTTATTCTATAACATGTGTCCTATACACACACAGTTCTGAATCCTGGGTTGGACCACAGGCTGTTCCTTTGATCCCTCTGTGTTCAGCTGCCACCTTAGTTCACCAGGCCGACAACTTGGGCTATTCTGGGTGAAAAGGTGAAAACATGTATTTCAAGAAATGGTTAGCCTCCATGTTGTCTACATGCACAATGTGTTGTACACTACATGAGAAGATTATGGCTTTACAGGACAAACTGGTTTATAATAAATCAAGTGAAACATACATTCAGTGCTGCTCCCTGTAATGCATTGTGGTTGAATGGTTTTCCCTAAAACACTAAGATGTCATTGTTGGTGAGTGGTTTGATAAGTTACACTTACAACTTAGTGAGAAACATGGGGTTGTGCTTCACTGAGGATCTTATTCATTCTGTCTCTGTCATTCAGTACAGAAACGGGCTTCCTGCTCACAGTAATCATGATTGCGTTTGTTGCTTTCACAGTTTACAGCAGTCAGTGATTACATTGAAAATAGGATGCTGAATATAAAATGTGGTTTATTGAACTTACATTTAGAGTTTTTAACAAACTTATAGTATAATTATTTTAGGAACTATACATGACTGATATTTTTTTTTAAATAATCTCACATATCCCCTACAGTACACCAAGGGGTACTTGTACCCCCGTTTGAGTATTACTGCTCTAAACCCTGAGACTGACTTAATGTAACTTAAAACTCTGCTTGCTTTCCCCCCCAGTTTCATCAACACCGACTGTGAGGCTTGGTGAAGGCAACAACAGAATTAAACTACCAAGCTTGATTCAGCTTTTCACACTTTAACTTCTTTTGAACAAGCTGTTCTCACTCCTCCTGCTGTCCAGGAAAGTATGTCTCTCCATTTACGGGCCCTTCTCCTCCTTCTTTTTGCCTTTTACTCACCACCATTCCTTCTTCTGCCAGTTGAGTGCTCACGTTTGTGTCCGCACCAGTGCACTTGTTACCAGCATGCTGATCTGGTAGACTGTCATGCTCGAGGCTTTGAGCATGTTCCCAGGGGCCTCCCGCATGGCATATGGCTGCTGGAGCTGGGGGAGAACAATCTAAGAGTGATTGGCACCCAAGCCTTCAGTGGACTGTGGTCCCTGCAGGTACTGGTGCTCACCAGCAGCCAGATACAAGAAGTACAACCACAGGTACAAACGAGGGGATGGCAGAACTAAAACAGTATTAAAACATTTCTTAGGAACATTTATGTTTTTGTTCTTTGTAAAATCGCACTGGAAAGATTTGAATTTATTTTAGCGATGCAAACAGGTTAAAATATTTTTAAATGTGAATTCCATTCTTGTGTGATGTTGTAGGATAGTCGCAATCAAAGTTAACACTTAAGAACTTAAGTTCAAGCCTAGAGAAGGTGTTTGTACTAAAAGGAACTGAGGTGAAGTTCATATGTCAGTTGAAGATTAATCACTGGAATGAGCTGAAGTTTCAGGTACATAAAGTTGAACTGTTACTGAAAGCAGCTGATCTCATATTTAAAGTAAAAATGAAAACCAGCTGAAGTATCAACTGAAGAATAAGGGCAATGATACTCAACAGCTGCGATGCCAGTCATTGTTTATATGCTTGTTTGTGTACTTTGTGCATATCTGGAGGATTAGAAAGCATATAGCTTGTAAATGAAAGCACTGGAAATGTCAGTGGAGAGCACTGTGTGCTGAAAACAATTGTCAGCTGATACAATATGTCATAGTAGAAAAGTAGATGAAGTGAAAGGTTAAAGATTTGTCAAAGCTGTTGTAATGCCAGTTGATCTGACAGCACCGCAGGTAGTTAAATGGAAGGAGTGAAGGGTATAGGGGAACAGACTAAGGAAGAATGAGGATGGTGGACCAAGGGATGGAACATTAAAGCACTGAAGATTTAAAATCGGTTGTTTTTCTCCCTCCGCAGGCTTTTTTCTCTTTGTCCTTCCTGGAGAAGCTGGATCTCAGTTGGAACCTGTTAACTTCCCTCCCTGTCGACTTCTCAGTCAGTCTGTCGGCTCTCAGAGAGCTTCGCCTGGAGCACAACAACTTACATTATATACCTGCAAACAGGTACAGTTGACTGCAAAAGTTTGCGTCCCCTTATTTAGAAATGGTAAAAAGACTAAAACTAAAAATTTGAAGCACGTTCAGGTAACAAATGTTCCTTCATCAACAGAAGTAACAAAAATGATCAGGGTGTATAAAAAGAAAGTTATAGTAAAATAATGAAAATCATACCAGTGCCTTTTATGAAATGTTCTCTAATACTTTGTATGTCCTCCCTAACCTCCTCCAACCTCTTTGGTTACCCTCTGAGCAGTGTTTGTATCTTTTCAGGTGTAATTTTTCTTGTCTTTAACTCCAAATGAATGCTGATGTAGCTCAGTATCTGCTAGATGTGTGTAGGAGCAGCTCTCATCCCATAATCGTCTCCCCCTCCTTCTGTCAGCTTGGAGTATCTGGACAACCTGGAGAAGCTGGAGCTCAGTTATAACCGGTTGGTGTCAGTTGGCCCTGGTGTGTTCAGAGGCCTCTCCAGGCTCAGACAGCTCTACCTGCATAACAACCAACTGACTGCTGTGCAGCAGGGGAGCCTGGATATGCTACCAGCACTAGAAGTACATAACTAACAATTGACATGATTATGTACAGTATGTATATCAGGTTGTCTGTATGGCCATCTGTCTGATTACCTGTCTGTCTGTCTGTTTAGGTGCTGCAGCTGAGTCACAACAACATCTCTCAGATAGACAGTAACGTTCTGGCTCCTCTCTACAGCCTAGCAGTTCTCGCTCTGGATGGAAACAATCTCCATCACCTCAAGTTTAAAACCTTCATCAGCCTACATACAACAGCTACACACATCCAGCTATCAGGTGTCTAAAATCACTACTGCTATTATGTATTGATCTTGTTTTAAACGTGTTGTTCATCAAGTGCAGAGGCACCAGTCTTGCTCACAATATGAATGTCATTTTTCACTCTACAAGAGAGCCACCATAATAGT